CATTCCTGTGCCTTGCATTAAATATTCAGATGTATTGAGAAAATGTTTATTTTTTCTTGGAAGAAAATCATTTGCAACACTTAGCCTGTGTAACCAAACAAAAAAACAAGGAGGTTGCAACACGTGAGAGTTTCCTTTGCATTGCTGTAGAGAATTGATGTTCTTGATCATTAGCACATCATCATTACATTTAAAATCTTTCACTCAAATCATTAATCCACTAGTTTAGTGTTAAGTAAAGTGATGTGAAACAAGTTCTTCTTAGAAGAATGGACGTTGACAATGCAGACTTTTCCAGAAATCAGAATAGTGATTCAATTCACGGCTGTTATTGAGATTGTATGCCTACTAATTACCTAGATAGGCCTAGTGTGATAACTAAGAAATTAAATTCAAGAACACTATGGTTCGATTTCGTTTCTTTGCTTGACAGATATGTATAACTAACAAATACCAACTATTATATTATATGACACCTTTTGAATTAAGTAATTTGATGCTTTCTTAGACTTGGCTTCCTTTTACAAAATGCATCCTGCAAAATGTATGCAACTACTTTAATTTTTCACGTATCTTCTTTTTGTTCCCAACACCAAGTCTCGCTTCTGTCTTTCTTTTTCTTTTTTCCATCAAAACTCTCACTTTCCTTCTCTTTTAATTTTATTTTCTATTTCTATTTCTCATCGCCCATCTCATATCCATTATAAGAAGCAATCTCTGGTTTGGATTCTAAATATGCAATTATATTAAATATTTAGATAAAGAATTTTGTTGTCTATAATAATCCTATCAATCTCAAATATAATTGTCTCTAATAAAAAAATCCATGTAGTCTAAAAAAATATCATAAGAAGTGAGAGAATCAATTTTTAATTAAAAATTGATTGTAATTTTGTAAATGCATTTATATATGTATTTTTCATATTTTTTAATCACAAATTAATTATTGATTATTAGCTTTATAATATTGTGTATTGGAAAAAAAATCCCCATCTTTTCCAGAGTGAAAAATTATCTCGAGAGGAAAATGCTATTACTACGGAAGTTAAAGAAATGAAGTTGCATCAATTGTGCGAATTCATATTTATTTTTAGAGAATATTGCGTTGACTTATTGACTATCCTTATGTTCTTTTTATATGACACCTACATTATTTCTAATTTGAAAAAACATC